ATATCCTAGAATGTAGGATACTTACGGGCGACCATGCTGGGGATAAAGTGTTGATACCTCGAATGACGATAACTTCGGATGCAAGAGTACCTTTTAAGTTTCAACGAAGGCAGTTCTCTATCGTGGTCTCTTATGCAATGACTATTAAAAAGAGTCAGGGTCAATCCTTATCCCACGTTGGTTTATTCTTGAAGAAATCAGTTTTCAGTCATGGCCAGTTATATGTTGCTGTTTCGCGCGTCACCAACAGAAAGAGTTTGAAAATTCTAATATGTGGTGAACATGATTTGCCCCCAAATCAAACAAATAATGCTGTGTACAGAGAAGTTTTTAATAATATATGATTTCTTTTTAATTTTTATTTTTGTTTCCATAATTATATGTTAAATTCAATTAATTACATTTAAAATAAGTACTTCAATATGTTTTAAGTTATGCGCCCACCGTGCATCGCACGGGTACATACTAGTATGAATGTCAAAAGAGAAGACTTTAATTTGGAATGCACATCTCCAATGCATCCCTTTCAAAAGCTTAAAATATGTTAGATTTTTTATGAGTTGGCTTTCAAACACTCTTTGGAAAACTAGAAAGTGGGCTTCACACTTTGGATATTTATTGTCTTCATGTCAGCATAAAAGAGTCCATAACATTATGGATTGGAGAGTAATTTTTGTAATCACTTTATAACTTGATGATGTGGCTAACATTTTATTAAGTCAACATCTCACATTGGAGATGCTCTAAGAAAAGAATGATTAAAAATAGAAAAACAAATTACAATTTTAAACTAAACGATTAAAGTCAAAATGAGAAGATATCTTTCCGTAAGACAGTTATGTTTTGTATAATGGTGACGGTTCTATATGTCTTGTCTTTGAAGATACAATGTCAATCATCTCGATTTGTGTAAAACATCAAAGTTTCGAGTTTCGATGAACTAGAACATAATCGAGAACTGAGCAGTATGTATGATGCATAAGATAAGTGAGAGTAGATGATATTATGTTCAGTGTATTTCTGCAACTCTAACCATGCCTTATTTATAACACTTTTAGCTCTGGTATGGAGGAGCAGTTGTCACTAAAAGCAGGTAACCCAGTCATGACTGTTGTAATAGCATAAAACAACTTATGAGAAGCCAATTATAGTTTGTAGCTCAATAATTTGGTTTATTTATAATGATATTATTTACTATATTTTTTTTTTAAATATAACTTTCAGTATTAAAGTGAAATTTTCAATCTCAAGAATATAATTTTCAAAATAATAATGATATATTATATATATAGCACCATTTTGTATAAAGTTTTGTGGTTGTGATAGTCTTTATATACATACAAACAATTGTATTATTATTATTATTATTATTATTATTATTATTATTATTATTATTATTATTATTAGGTGATCTGTTCAACACCTATGCATTTTACAAATATAAGTTTTACCGTTATTTAACAGTCAATTTTTATTTGAAGTTGGTTATTGAAGATTCCTGGGAAGATCAAGTTGTTCTTATGGAAATGCCTTAATGGCACATTGCCTGTTTTGGTCAAATTGAAAAAGAAAGGGCTGGATATTGACACCTGTTGCAGATGCTGTGAAGAAGGTCATGAAATAGTTGAACACATTTTATTAACATGTCCCAGAGCTTGTAGATTATGGGATCTTGCTCCTGTCTCCTGAGATGGGATCACCCAATATGCCAGTTCTTTTAAGCATTGGTGGCAACAAGTGTGTTCCCTGGCCAAATCAGAGATATCAAGCCACAGAATTCAGCTCACTACTTATTTGCTTTGGTGGCTGTGGAAGACTTGCAATTTGTGAATTTTTCAAACATCTCTCATTCCAGTTCATTTGGTGATCAGAGCTACCCAAGCTGATTGGCAGGAGTTCAGTTCCACTACTTCATGCATTGTTGGTTCTCCTTGTTTAGTTTTCTTGTGTTTTCTAGTTTTTATTGGCTCTGAGGGAATCCTGCTAGGCCTTATGGCAGTGGTTAGAACCTCCAAATGCCTTGTTTTTCTCTCTTTTGTGATTTCTTGTTGATTTGACGCTTTAGGCCATCTTGTAGATGTGCCTCTCAGTTTGATTTTTAGGAATTGATTGAGGTCTTCCCCTTTGTATTGGAACATTGTTCTCGGTTGAGTTATATAATACCTTCTATCGTTCTGCCAAAAAATAAATAAAAAAAAAACTGTCAATTTTTAAACAAAAATAATTCTACTAAAATATTGTAAATATTTTGGGTTTTATTTACACTCTTTTACAAACACGTATGTTAATTGTTATGTTGAAGCATTATACCTTATTTATTTATTTATATTATAAGTATGAATTAAAATAACAATATCTATATTCTAAAAAAACTAGTGTATATCCCGTGCGATACACGTGAAAGTAATATTAAAGTTATTTTTTAAAGTCAAATGTTGGACTAAACAAATATTTAAGGTTATTTTTTAAAATTAAATGTTGGACTAAATAATCATATTTAGTTATTCCTAAAAAATAACTGTTGGACTAAACGAACATATTAAGCAGTTGAATAAATCTGATAATGATTTTAAGTGATTTTGTACGTACCATTTCAAGTTATACACACTAGGGGTGCACAAAGTTCGGTTAACCGAGCCGAATCGATCGAAACCGAAACCGAATATTTGGTTCGGTTTGGATAATTGTGATCGGTTAACCGAACTGAACCGAAAATCAATTTATACACATATATATACATGTTTTTTATTTATACATATAAGTTATAAAAACATTCATATGCTTCAATGATTGATGTTTTTCAAGCTTCAATGACCCATAAAATGGCTCAAGCATTAGATTGCACTCAAGATTGACTTCGTCATAGTCCAAGTCACGGTTCGGGTCCAAGATCTTCCTTTGCGGAAAATTTAGAATTTACTGAGAAGAATAAACAAGGTGATAAAAAAATTATTTTTTTTGTTCAGATAAAACATAAAATGATGTTTGGTTAAAAATTTAGAATTTCGTGAGAAGATTAACTATTTATTGTGATTAACCAAAAACTGAACCGAACTGACCGCTGAATTTTCGGTTAAAAACCAAACCGAACCATAAATTTCGGTTCGGTTTTCGGTTATGATAACGGACAAGCTGAATTTTCGGTTAACCGAAAATTCGGTCGGTTCGGTTTGGTATCGACTGAATGAGCACCCCTAATACACACAAAATATTGGTATCTATATTTTTTTAGATGACACATAAATTTAAAAGTATTTTCTAATTTAAATTTCTCATTTATTTTTCATTTGTTAATTGCCTTCAATTTTAAAGATATTATTTACTTTATCAATTAGATAAAATTAATGTAAAAATTATATTAATAATATTTTATAATTTTTTAATAAACTCTTAAGAATGGTAAATTTAAATTAATTCGAATGTTAATGTATCTCAAAAAAGCGAGTGACTGTCAACATCTGTTATATAAATTTGTTAGATAATAGGTTAATAATATTGTGGAGTTTTTAGAAAATCTTTAAAAAAACATATCTTATTCTTCTTTACCTCAATTTTCACTTCAAAAATTATTTGCACTAATTCTATTATGTGATATCACCGAAGGTTAAAAGATTGTTTAGGTTAATCAAAATCAAAATACGTGAACATTAAACATAAAGATATGATGCACACACATAGAAGGAATAAATTACAAATTATCATATAGCAACTTTTCAATAAAAAATTTAGTTCTACGTGTAATATGGACAACTCGTAATTATTCGTATATGTTGTAGGTTTCCACAAATGAAAAAATAAAAAAAATAAATAAATAAACACTTCACATCCGCATGGAATTGAACAAATTGATAAATAAATAAATACTTCACATAAGTGGTTTACCTTATATTTATTATTTTGTTTTCAAATAGATACCCACAGATGTGCTGCAAATTTTAATATCAAATTTTAACTTTGAAGTTATTATAAATTATTACCAAATTTTTATTTTAGAATTATTTATTAAATATATTTATCATATTTTAAAGGTGAAAATATTAAAAATATTTTTAAAACCCTATATTTAGTAATATAAAAATTTTAAGTTGGATATTTCTCACTGTTATAGTAAATCTTTAGTTCCTTTTTATACTAATAGATATAGATATAAATGCATTCATACGTGCGTTGGTATCTGTTTTAATATTAAAAAAATCATAGCATATTTTATCCATTATGTTATATAAATCGTGCGATTCAATGAAATACGTAAATTAATTAAGGAAATGTTCTATCCATTTTTTAGCTATAAAGGTTTTACTAAATTTGTCCAAACACTGTGTGCATCTTAAATTTTAATGGTTCAAGCTTTAGATTTGTCTTAAGAAATAAGTAAATTTATTTTATTAATTGATGAACGTAATTACATAGTTTAAATAAATACAATCAAGTTTTTCAAAACTTATTTAAAGGTTTGAACTAATAGATAAATACAAATATAGGACAAAAGATTTTCAACATATTAAGAAGTTGAAAACAGAAAAAAAAGGAAAAAAAATTATAATAAAAATAGGAAGATGATATAAACATTACAAAATTATTAAAAAAAAAGAAGTATGATAAAAGTGAAAACTCATAAGTTACGTATTTGAAAATTTATAATTAATGATATTGAAATCAAATTTGAAACACTATCTTAAAAAATGAGACAATGTTTTTTGTTTTATAAGAGAATGATATTAAATCAAATTTTAAAATATTATCTACAATAAAAAAAAAAAAAAGAATTTATGTTCTCAAAAGATTCGAATGAAATAAAAAATAGTTTCTTTAACTAATCCATATGGAGAAGGAAATAAAATTTATATTTTTTTCATTTAAAATTTAAATTAATTTAGAAATTTTTAAATTTAATTACTTACTAAAATAACAAATAAGTTAAAATTTTATGTTAGGAAAAAAAAAGGTGCGATGTTTTTTTAACCTAAAAGCATGAATTGACCATCACTTTTTTCTGATGCCTGTCATCATCATTATACTTTGTTAGATTCCAGTCCAGGGTAAACACTTCCTTCAACCATTGTCAACTTCAATAGATAATATCATTCTGTCAATTTTAGAATAGGGAATTACGGAACTGATGAAATTTGGGAAGGAATTCAGGATACATTTGGAGGAAACCCTACCGGAATGGAGGGACAAGTATTTGTCGTACAAGCCTTTGAAGAAGCTTCTCAAAAATATTCCGCCCGCCGCCACCGACAATCCTCCGCCAGGAGGCACCCTGCCGGAGCTTCACGATTGGTTCGTTGGGATTCTAAACGAGGAGCTCGAAAAATTCAACGATTTCTACGTCGATAAGGAGGAGGAATTTATTATTCGCTTCCAGGTTTTCTTATATCCCTTTCTTCTGATGCCTTAATTACCCGATGTCGTGAAGTTCTGAAATTCGATATCTAGCCTTGTAATCATTTCAGCAGCTTGTATTTATGCCTTTCTATTAATTTGAGATTCTCTGTAGTTGGTTTCATATTGATCTTACGTTTGTCAGTTTTGATGGTTTAACTCAAAGTAGAATATTTACTAGGTATGGGGGGAAAATATCTCCCATCTTTCATTCGTCTCTTATATATCAACAAGAAGCCAGGCTTTAATTCCTTCCTCTCAAATTTTGATGTTGATGTGTTTTCCTTCTTCACAAGTTACGGAAGTTAGTGTGTCTATTGTGTTTTCCATGTTTGACTGTGGATGGTGATGGTGTGGGTCATGGGGTGGGATCAAGGGGGACAACTATATTCTACTGCTTCTAGAAATCAAAAGCTGTTATTTTCTTCACCTCGTATCCATGGAGGTGGGTGAGCTTTTCTGGGACGAGAAACTGCACCTGCAAATTATTTGTTCTTCAAAGGCCAGAAAACAACATAGGAAGTTTGACATGTCTTTTGGGGCCAAATAAGTTAGACAGTAAGTCCTCTTGTTGGCTCCTCAAACTTGACTAGAACGAGGGAGCTAGATGATTGGATGGCCAAATGAGATTCATTTCTGCTAGAATAACAATCTCACTTACATGTGGTGCTGTAGAAAAAAATGAACAGTTTTAGAACTCTGCCACTAGAAATTATGCCTTATAGGAAATTCCTAGATAGAATTGTCATTCTCTGCTGCCCCTTAAAATCGGTCATTGTTAATGAAAGCTCATGGTGAAACTGGTTCAATGCATGAAAAAGCTATTATTCAAATATTTCAGTTGTAACTGAAGCCTAGGAGTAGGCATAGACAAACTGGGCTTTTATTTGCTTATTTACATCTATGCACCATTTTTGTAAAATCGCCACTACGTATAATGTGGCTCCCATGCACATTCTCTGTGTTATTATCTCAGGCATTAAAAGAAAGAATTGAGCGAGTAAAGGCCAGAGTAGGTACAGGTGGGGTGTTTACCTCGGAGAATGAATTTAGCCGAGAGATGATGGAGATACGTAAGGACTTTGTAGCCATTCATGGCGAGATGGTCCTTCTGAAGAACTACAGTTCCCTAAACTTTGCCGGTAAAAGAACCAATGCATATTATCATTATCGATAAGTATGAACTTTCCTGGTCTAAGAATTCAAGTGACAGTTGTGAAAGACTATTCTTGTGGTTTGGTCAAATTACAGAAACACGGCTAACTATGAAACTTTCGAAAATTGATTCTCGAGGTTATATTGATCTTACATTAACACTTGCAGTTGTTGAGCTCATGAAAATTGCTAAAATATTGCATTTGAATAGTAATAAATAAATCAAGTTATTTATATGATTGCATACATCTTACAAATTTCTTCCTTACAAATGTTGAGGGCTGTTAATGTGAAGTATTTGATGATTTCAGCAACTCCATCATGTTATACAGGTTGGGACAAAATATCAGACAAAATGAAAATTTAAGGGTGATTTTTGTAATTTTCAAATTTAGCTATTTTTTTTCTTCAAATAGTTTTTTCTTTTTCCTTTTGTTGTTTAATACCATTGACATCAAGGTAACTGTAACATACAATACACCGATCTACTTTTTTATTAAATGTCCTTCAAGAAGTGAAATTTGTAAAATAAAAACACTTGCAAAGGTCTTTGTAATTTTAGAAACTAGTTGGAAGTTTATGTCAACTAATGAGGTAGGTTGCTCAAGCTTTCTTACTATTTTCGTTTTTTTTTCTTCAAATTGACATATATCACCATGTTACTATTGTCATACCTCATTTCATTGTCATTAATGTATCGTATCATTTTTCAATAACATGCCTACCTCAACTTGGATTTCTTTTGAAGTACTTCTCATGGTTTTTCATTTTGATTGAAAAGTTCCCTTTACGTTTTTAACTAGGTCTCATCAAGATACTAAAGAAATACGATAAAAGAACTGGAGGGTTATTGAGTCTACCTTTCACTCAACTTGCCGTTCACCAGCCGTTCTTCACTACCGAGCCCCTTACAAGATTAGTCCGTGATTGTGAGGCAAATCTTGAGCTCCTTTTCCCTTTGGAAGCAGAAATTGTTGAATCCAACCCTGCCCACCAGAAGCAAGCAAACACATCCTCAGAAAAAAAAATGCCACTTGGTGAGGACACTACAGATATTTACAAGAGTACCCTTGCTGCAATTAAGGCCATACAAGGGTTTAAGAAGGCAAGTTCGACATATAATCCTTTGTCTTTATCTTATTTATTTGGGGACCAAGATAATGATAGTACAGGGGCAGTGACACATGAAAACTCACCTTGCGACTCTTGTAGTTTGCACAAAGGTGAGGACTCCAACAAAGATACCTGTTTGCCTAAATAAACCTTTTCTTTTGTTTTTTTTTGTGATTTGCTAAGTTTTATTTCCGTGGAATGATATTGAAAAAAAAAATAAATAACATTTTACTACGCGGAAATAAAATGTAATGCGACTTAATGATGGCTGTGTGGCTAAATATACAGTTTTCAGATGTATGTTTGACGTTGACATTTGAGCTTTATTTTATCGAATATAGTAGAGCTTTCAAATAATGATGTATTTATCTTATGATGAGGTGGGTAGGGGTGAGCAATGTTGCGGGTCGGTGGAAAATCGCACCTAGTCGCAAAAAACCGAAAACCGAACTTACGAAAAAAATAACGGAACTGCACCGCAACTTAAAAAATAACTGAACAAAAACCGAATCGAAATTTTTTTACACTAAAATAACGGAACCAAACTGCACCAAAATGTGCGGTTCGGCTTGGTTTTCGGTTTTACCCTAGTTTTTCTATACATTTTATTCGATTTGGTGCGGTTCGTGGAAAAACCACAACCGAACAAAACCGAAAACTGAACATATGAAAACCTATAACTGCACCGCAATGTAGAAAAAATAAAACTAAAATCTGCCCGAAAATTTTTTACATTAAAAAATTAAACCGAATTGTACTGAATTGCACGGTTCGGCTCGATTTTGCATACTTCTAGATGTGGGTGTTCATGAATACCATTTTGTAGCAATTCAATTGAGTCGTAGTGTTTCTTCTTGTTCTATTTTAATTTTGCGCATGTTAGATATGGCCAACTGTCGGGCCGGTTCACGACTCGGCGCAGGTCCGTGGGCTTCAAAACTTGGTCCCGGAACTTACCCGGCTTATATGTAATGGTCGGTTCACTGAATTTGCCCCAAATGACGCTTCGTTGAACAACCGGTTTTTTTTAATAAAAAATAAATAAACAATGCAACCCGTCTTCTGTCTCGGGACCGACCCGGTACCGACGGGTTTAAAAAAAGAAACCAACCTGGAACTAGCCCTGTATTACCACAGGTCCGGTTCAACGACCAGTACATACAGGTCGGTTCCGGGCTGATACCGGGTAGACCCGACGGTCCAGGCCGACCCTAGCCAGGTCTAGTGCATGTATCATGTTTTGCTGGAAGGAGGTCAATGGTTGAATTTCCAAGAAGACCTTTTTAGTATGAATGTTGCAATGGGAAAATTCATAATATAATTTGAGTAGAGTTAGGCTATGTTTGGTAGACAAATAAGGTAGCCTATAACTTATTTTGCTAGCTTATAAGTTTCCTGTATTTAACTTCGTTTGGCAGGACGAACTTTTTTAAAAAGCTCGAGCTTATCTAATAAACTTCTTTGAGTAGCTTTTCAAATAAGCTAGTTGAAATTTTTATTTCAACTAGCTTATCATCTAATTTACCATATGCTTTTATCATATAAGCTAACTTTTCAGCTATAAGTCATAAGCTATAAGTTATAAACTCGAAAGTTACAAATAAGCTATAAGCTAGCTTATCAACTATCAACTAGTTTTACCAAACATAGCCTTAATATTTTGTTGGATTTACCAATTGGTTATGTACTATTGGTTTTGGTAATATTTTATATAAAAGAGTAATAGTTGCTAGCTCCATATATTTTCATGGTTGCTCTTTGTCGCCCCAAATTACTACATGTTGCTTGAAAAAAAAAAAAAGTAAATTTACAAAAATATCGTGGTAGAAAAATAGTTACTACAAAAAAGGCATTCAAACGTCCAGGAGCTAAGTTTGGAAGCCAAACAAACGTCCACTGTGCTCGACTGTGAAAGCAAACGTATAGGAGCTAAGCTTGGAAGCCAAACAAACGTCCCAACCGTGAAGCCCGACTGTGAAGGAGGGAGTCTAATGGCAAAGGGGCAACACATTTTGAACTTTTAGAATACTAGCTTATCATACAACTAAACGTCTCAAGAGGAAGCTTAAGGCCATATAAAACGTTCAGAATCTAAGCTTTGAAGCTAAACAAACGTGCAACCGTGAAACCCGACTGTGAAGAGGAACGTTGACAACGAAAGTGTGTATTGGTCATAAACGTTCAAAAGCAAAGCTTACCAACGAGAAGGAACGTCCACAGGCAAAAGGGCAACACATTTTGAACTTTTGGAATCCAAGCTTACCATACAATCAAACATCCCAGGAGGAAGCGCATGGCAACAACAAACGTCCTTAAGGAAAACTTAATGTACCTAGAAACGTTCTACGTGAAAGCTTCCTCAAGAATTTGATTTCTTCCAAATATCAATCAAATTACTTTACTCAAAATTCACAACCTAAAATCAACCCAAGCAACAACGCTTTGAAAGGATATAGAACTGTTATTTTGTAAGATATCCGTATTTTTAATATAATTTGATAATAAAATCGTAATCATATTTAACAAAAAAATAAATAAATAGGGTTTAGTGTTTAGTTATAAAATATAATTAATATCTTATTAGTTTATAGATAATTATGATAGTATAATTGGACCTCACTTATACTATTAATCCAACAAAATGGACCTCACTTTTTAGTGAATCAAAGTAGAGGCACTATATGCACGTTCTTGTTTACATCTTACGGGTTTAGAGTACTAGTCATGGCCATGGGCCGGCCCAGCCCGCCGGTTCGACCCGAACCGACCTGGAATCGGCCCTGAACCGGCTCTTGGTCAACAGGCCCAGAATTGAACCCGTAGTTTGACTGGACCGGTTCTGGGCCTCATGTATAAAATTTTTTGGCCCGACGGGCAGGGTCCAAGCCGCCCTCGAGGCGGCCCGCCATATTTATTTTATTTTTCTATTTTTTTAATCTATGGACCGGGCTGGGCCGGCACGTGGCCCAGTATTGGACTCTTGGCAGCCCGCTAATCTGGGCCGTTGAAAGCTTTTGACGTTGGAGATCCATCTGTCAGATTTTTATTATTTAATTTTTTAAATTCGGTTCCCCGATCTAGGTTCAGTTTCACCCCGGCCTGCTGGTTCTACATAGGTTGGCCTACAGTCAGATTTTCAAATCTAACTGTTTGATCATTTGATGGTTGAGATTCGGTCAGATCCAACGGTTAAGATTTGGCCGACCCGACTGACCCACAGGGCAGACCCGACGGGTCCTGTAAATAAAAATAAGAAAAAAAACTTTTTTAGCTTTTATAAAAATTAACACACCGGGCCGATACCTTTGTCAACATCTTCCTCTCTTCTCTACTCTTTTGTAAGCTCTTGAAGTGCTAATTTTTAGCTTTTATGCTCGTTTTTTTTATGATTAATATCTTATGGCAAAGGGGCAACACATTAGATGTGTGTTATAAATATATTTTATGTCACCTTTGATCTTATATAATTTGATATTTTTTAAAATGCAAATAAAATATTGTAATAACAATTAAACTTCACTTAAAGTTCATGCTTATTAATACTTGCTCTCCAATTGATTTTTTCCTGTTTAAAAAAAAATATTTAAAATAAGGGTTTAGGATTTGGTTATGAAATATAATTAATATCCAACATAGTGAACCTCACTTGTGAATCAAAGTAGAGATACTGTATGCATGTTGTTGTTTATATCTTACGGGTTCAAAGTATTACTCATGGCCACGTGTCGGCCCAGCTCGCCGATTCGATCTGAATTGACGAGTCAGCCCTGAACCTACCCATGGTCAACAGGCCCAGATTAGCGTGCTAGTTTTGGGCCTCATTTTTGGCTCGGCGGGCCGGGTCCAGACCGACCCTCGAGATGACACGCCATATTTTTTTTTTTTTAATTTGTGGACTGGATCGGGTTGGGCCGACCTGTGGCCTGGAATTGGACGTTGGCAGCCTGCTAATCTGAGCTATTCAAAAGCTTTTGACCGTTGGAGATCCAACGTTCATTTTTTTAAAAAAAAATTCGGTTCCCCAGTTCGGTTATGGGTTCGATTTTGACCCGACCTGCCAGTTCCACAACGGTTGGCCAACTATTAGATTTTCAAATATGTCCGTTGTATCATCTTGATCGTTGAGATCAAACGGACAAGATCCAGCTAACCCGCCTGACCCACTAGGCCGATCCAAACTCGGACCCGGCGGGTCCTGCAAATTTTAAAAAAAAAAAACTTGAAAAAATTCAAAAAAGAAAAAAAATCCCAAAAAGTATCTATAAGTACCTCCCCCCCACCCAAATAAAAAAAAAATAAAAAGATTTTTCACACCTTTTTTCTAAGCCCTTGAAGTGTTAATTTTTAGTTGTTGTGCTCAATTTTTTATAATTAATATCTTATGAAAAAGGGCAACACATTAGATGTGTGTTGCATATTTTATATCACCTCTGATCGTATATAATTTGATAATTTTTAACATGTAAATAAATTATAGAAATAATAATTAAGCTTCACTTAAGAAATACTTGATTTTCAATTATTTTTTTATAATTAATTTCATGCTTAGTAATGCTTTGAAGATATTTTCAGCTCGTACCCTGAGTATATGGCAAGAAAGTAGCAATAATGCAGAGCTTAACTATAACTCTCATGTATTTGTCCGTATTCAAAATAGTCCATAAAATCTTCATATTCGTCCTGTAAATAGTTAAATTACACAATTTTATTACCACATTTCATAAGAAATAACTATTAATAATATCATAAATCATATAGGTGATAAACAAAGAAAACTATAAAAATTTAGTTGCAGAAAAACAAGCTCTTGGTGCAGATGCTTAAGCTGCATATAAGCCTTACGTTTAGACGTTTCATAGGCTTCCAAGCTTTGTGTATTTATGTTTCTTAGGTGTAGCCCCTTATAATCTGGATGTTTCACTTTACAGTCGGGTTTTCGAATTAGACGTTTTATGGGTCATGTAGCTTGACATTAAAAAGGTTACTCCTTATGTAAACTTAGCTAACGGACGTTTAGGCCATGTTCTAGCTTTTACCTTAGACGTTTACTGAACGACTAATCTACATCTATTATCACTTTATTCATTTTACCATCCTAATAAACCCATCACATTGGTTTAATGCAACATATATGAAAATGGTTTAATGATCTAAGTCCTAAAATATCTCAAACACTCAAAAATCGGAGACTCATTTGTGAGTGAAAATCAATGTAAAATAAAATTAGGGGTTAAAACATTATTTAACACGTCTGTTACAGCTACTCTTCACGCCGACGACCTCCTTCCCAGCTCCAGCGACCTCAGTTCCAGCTGCTTTTCACGCCAGCAGCGATGCGCGCAGCTCCGTCGCCGTCC